TTTTTTTGAGCTGGAGTTTTGCTCTTGTTACCCAAGCTGGAGTACAATGGTGTGATCTGGGCTTACTGCAACCTCTGCCTGCTGGGTTCCAGTGATTCTCTTACCTCAGCCTCCTGAGTAGCTGGGATTACAGGCGTGTGCCACCAGGCCCGTATTTTTAGTAGAAATGGAGTTTCACCATGTTAACCAGGCTGGTCTCAAACTCCTGACCTCAGGTGATCTGCCTGCCTTGGCTTCCCAAAGTGCTGGGATTACAGGCATAAGCCACCATGCCTGGCCAACATGGACTCTCTTAAATAGACTTGTTTTCTGTCTTTTGGACTTGGTAGAGTTTGTAGAGATACGAGGCTGTGTTCTCAAAAAAAAAAAAAATTACCTTTAATCCTTTCTGTAAAGATGTAACTGACCTTTAATCATCTCAGCCCTTCACAAGGCACCATACAAGGTGCATCAGCATTCAGTATTTGATTTTAATCTCAGTGTGATAGTTTAGATGTTGATATTTATCTAGGAAAAATGGTATTTTGTTCAGAAAGGTATCAGTTTTCCGGATCTGATTATTTAATATTTCGATCAGTAGTAATGAATCATTGTTTATATGTGACAATAACTCTTTTTCAGCTGAAATGTGTATCTGAAATGCAAGCTCACCGGGGCAGAGACCTGTGGATTGCCGTACGCTGCCCTCCGAACCTGGATCATGAAGGTGTTGGGAAGAAGCTTCTTCTGGGTGCTGTTTCCGGTCCTTCCCTGGGCAGTGCAGCCTGTGGAGCACGAGGAGGTGGCGCAGCGTGTGATCAAACTGCACCGCGGGCGAGGGGCGACCGCCACTCAGAGCCGCCAGTGGGTCCGGGACAGCTGCAGGAAGCTCTCAGGGCTTCTCCGCCAGAAGAATGCGGTTCTGAACAAACTGAAAAATGCAATTGGAGCAGTGGAGAAAGACGTGGGCCTGTCAGATGAAGAGAAACTGTTTCAGGTGCACACATTTGAAATTTTCCAGAAAGAGTTGAATGAAAGTGAAAATTCCGTTTTCCAAGCCATCTATGGACTGCAGAGAGCCCTGCAGGGGGATTACAAAGATGTGGTGAACATGAAGGAGAGCAGCCGGCAGCGCCTGGAGGCCCTGAGAGAGGCTGCAATAAAGGTCAGTCCTAGAGAGGGAGAGGGAGGGAGGAAAGGAGGGAGGGAGGGAGAGAGAGAGGTGAAGAGAGAGGGAGAGTGCATGCCCACATCCGCATCCTAGAGAGAACCCACCTGGAGCTGTGGGAGCAGACGGGAAGGGAAGGTGTGAGTGCGGCTGATGCCTCTCAGGTGTTGTCTTTCATAGGAAATCACATCTAGAAAAGTCTCATGTGAGGGAGAATCTTTTCCTTTTGCATAACACTGTAGTTCTTTCTTCTAGGAGCCACTCTCATACTTTTCTCTATGGAGAAATCCCCTGGTAATTCAAAAAGTTACTCAAGTTGTACTAGTAAACTGATGTAGAAATAAATATAACTTAAATCAGCATTTTGATGAGTTTCTGACAGGAGTTCCTTTTAGTGTGAAGTTTGACTTTTCTTCAGTGTCATACATCGAAGATAAAAATATTAAAATTAGTTTTAAACTAATGTATGCATTTAAAATTAAGGACTTTGACCAAGGATGCTTTTAAAATGATGAGAAGTTTCTGAACTTATTGCATCAGATGTTGTATTATCTATTTACATTTTTTAAAGCCATCATTTCTTGAGTACCTCTTCTATGGCAAGCATCATGCCAAACCCTTTCTTTTTTTTTTTTTTCGAGACGGAGTCTCGCTCTGTCGCCCAGGCTGGAGTGCAGTGGCCGGATCTCAGCTCACTGCAAGCTCCGCCTCCCGGGTTTACGCCATTCTCCCGCCTCAGCCTCCCAGGCCCTTTCAATGTGTAAAGTATTGTGTCATCTTCATAGAAAAACCTGTGGTATTATTACACAGCATCAACATGAGAGAAAATACAGACATTAAACTTTTTTTACCAAAATATATTTTGGAGGAGAGAAATATCATCAGGCAAATGGATAAATCAAGGTTTTCAATAATACTTTTCATTCGTCTTCCCTGTGTGATATGTGCATGAGCTGCTGTGACCCTGTGTACAGTGGAGACATGAAGATCCATTGGTAGGGTCCAGATGTGTGGTGGTTTTATTGTAGAGAAAAAACAGGAGTTTGAGTAACATTGGCTACCAATATGCACAGTTCATAACACATCAACAGTATTTTAACATACACTAGTTATTATTTCCTGTGCCGAGATTCTCCAGGTGCTGGTAAACCAGCTATACTAGCCCTCCAGTCACATGCTCGACCTGCAGCTGTGTGATAGACCTGCAGCTACGTATCAGGTCTGCAGTTGTATGTCAGTGGAACCTGCAGCTCTGTGATAGGCCCCCGGCTGTGTGCTACACCTATAGCTGTGTGTCAGGTCTGCTAGACCTGCAGCTGTGCATCAAACCTGCAGCTGTGTGAGACCTGCAGCTGAGTGAGACCAGCTGTGTGAGACCTGCAGCTGTGTGTGAGACCTGCAGCTGAGTGAGACCAGCTGTGTGAGACCAGCTGTGTGAGACCTGCAGCTCTGTGAGACCAGCTGTGTGCAAGACCTGTAGCTGTGTGTGAGACCTGCAGCTGAGTGAGACCAGCTGCGTGTGAGACCAGCTGTGTGTTAGACCTGCAGCTGTGTGAAACCAGCTGTGTGTTAGGCATGCAGCGGTGTGAGACCTGCAGCTGTGTGAGACCTGCAGCTGTGTGAGACCAGCGCTGTGCCAGACCTGCAGCTGTATGAGACCTGCACCTGTGTGAGACCTCAGCTGTCCAAGACCTACAGCTGTGTGTTACACTTGCAGCTGTGGGACACCCGCAGCTATGTGTGAGACCTGCTGTGTGAGACCTCAGCTGTGTGAGACCAGCTGTGTGTTAGACCTGCAGCTGTGTGAGACCAGCTGTGTGTTAGGCATGCAGCGGTGTGAGACCTGCAGCTGTGTGAGACCTGCAGCTGTGTGAGACCTCAGCTGTGTGAGACCCGCAGCTATGTGAGATGTCAGCTGTGTGAGATGTCAGCTGTGTGAGACGTCAGCTGTGTGAGACCTCAGCTGTGTGAGACGTCAGCTGTGTGAGACCTGCAGCTATGTGTGAGACCTGCAGCTATGTGAGACCTCAGCTGTGTGAGACCTGCAGCTCTTTGTCAGTGGCATCAGATGATGTCTCGTGACTACTTGGTAATTGAGGCAGTGATGTTCTTCTAGACTCTGGTCCTCTCTGCTCTGGCCTATGTCCCACCCCTTTAGCTAAGAATAAATGTTTAAAAGTAAGGTTATTGATAAAATATAGTTGTGTAAAATACATTACTAAATTCTATTGTCAGCATCACCCATCAGTTCTTCAAATGATTCATGCTGTTGGTTTCTACATGTGTTTTGGAACAGTTTTCCCTTGTAACTTGAATTTGTGCATTGAATTTAGGTGGTAGTTCCACATTCAGGTCTCACATCTGGTTTTAAAGTACCGCTGCACTCACACACGATAGGCCTGGAGCACAGTCACTATTGAGTCAATGAGTTTAGTGTGGATAGATGACCTACAGATACTACATTTACTTTTGTGTAACAAATGTTTCTTACATGTATTCATGTACATACACAAAAAACTTTCCCTAAACATTTGGTTAAGCTCAGTTGTGTTTGAATAACTAGGACACGTGACTTCCCTAGCTGACCAGAGTTAAGTTATTGACGTATGAACAGGGACATTTGACAAAGAAAGCAGGAGGACTGATTAAGAAAGTCATGTCATAGCTTATTTCTTAATATAGCTCACTCTTCTTTTCTTGCAAATGATTAGGAAGAAACAGAATATATGGAACTTCTAGCAGCAGAAAAACATCAAGTTGAAGCCCTTAAAAATATGCAACATCAAAACCAAAGTTTATCCATGCTCGACGAGATTCTTGAAGATGTAAGAAAGGCAGCAGATCGTCTGGAGGAAGAGATAGAGGAACACGCTTTCGACGACAACAAATCAGTAAGCGTTCCCGAACAGCTGCTGCTTCACCCCCGAGCCGCTCGCTGATCGGAAGACGTGTTGTTGAAATTGTTCACATGTATGTTTTTAGTGTAGATTGAAAATGAAGACAAACTAAGACGCTTCTCAGTCATAGAGAAAATAATTTGGTCTTGTAGAAGTCAGCTAATTATCCTTTACTTTAACACCGACAGTCAGTTCCGCTCCTCAGCAGCTTGTCTGCATTTTCCAGAGGCCAGATGGATTGGGACACTGGGACTCTGGTCTCAGGACAACCTGGACAGTTGGGTTTTAATGCTGATCTACTGGGACGTTACCAGAAACGGGTCCCAATCCAGACCCCAAGAGAGAGTTCTTGGATCAGGGCGAGTCCATAGAGTAAAGTGAAAGCAAGTTTATTAAGAAAGTAAAGAAACAAAAAAAAAGGCAACTCCATAGGCAGAGCAGCCCTGAGGGCTATTTTTATGATTATTTATTGATTACATGCTAAGCCAGGAGTTGGTTATTCATGAATTTTCTGGGAAAGGGGTGGCATTTCCTAGAATGGAGGGTTCCTCCTGTTTTAGACCACATAGGGTAACTTCCAGATGTTGCCATGGCATTTGGAAGCTGTCATGGCGCTGGTGGGAGTGTTATTTCACATGCTAATGGATTCTAATTATGTACAGTGAGCAGTGAGGACAAGCAGAGGCCACTTTCATTGCCTTCTTGGTTTTGGTGGGTTTTGGCCGGCTTCTTTACTGCATCCTGTTTTGTCAGCGGAGTCTTTGTGGCCTGTATCTTGTGATACCAATCTTGCCAACCTCCTGTCTCATCCTGTGACTAAGAATGCCTGTCCCTGAAATGCAGCCCAGTAGGTTTCATCCTCATTTCGCCCTGCTTGTGTTCAAGATGGAGTTGCTTTGGTTTGAACACCTGTAACGGGAACAGTGAACCTCTTACAGAAAATGATCTTCATCTGTGAAGCAGGAATTCAGGCTGCTCTTTTGTTGTAGCATGTTTAAGATTCTAAGAAAAAAAGTGGGACTGATGGTGAAAATTGACTGTGGGTCTTAATGAGGACTCATGAAAGGGTTGGGTAATAAAAACAAATCAGAAAAAGAGTAGAGAAGAAACCGGAGAGAATAAAAATAGAGTAGAAGAAACAAGGTGTTTTAAAAATCTACTAATTATGGAATTAGAGGAGAACTCATAAGTATTTTAAGGGCTATGAATTTCTTGAAAGAATGGTAAACTAGGCCGGGCGCGGTGGCTCAAGCCTGTAATCCCAGCACTTAGGGAGGCCGAGGCGGGCAGGTCACAAGATCAGGAGATCGAGACCATCCTGGCTAACATGGTGAAACCCCGTCTCTACTAAAAAGAATACAAAAAACTAGCCGGGCGAGGTGGCGGGTGCCTGTAGTCCCAGCTACTCGGGAGGCTGAGGCAGGAGAATGGCGTGAACCCGGGGGGTGGAGTTTGCAGTGAGCCGAGATCGCGCCACTGCACTCCAGCCTGGGTGGCAGAGCGAGACTCCGTCTCAAAAAAAAAAGAAAAAAAAAAAAAAAGAATGGTAAACTAGATCTGGGAAAGTAGCAGAAATCCTAAACCTATCCATTCTTAAATTACTTCTTTAATTGAAAAGTCATAATTCACTGCTAATGAACATTGATTGATACATTTTTAACATTCTTCTGTGTAGCATTCATTCCCTAAAAATTGAAAGCATTTAATGGATTTTAATTGCATAATACTATTATTCTTGCAGGTCAAGGGGGTCAATTTTGAGGCAGTTCTGAGGGTGGAGGAAGAAGAGGCCAATTCTAAGCAAAATATAACAAAACGAGAAGTGGAGGACGACTTGGGCCTTAGCATGCTGATTGACTCCCAGAACAACCAGTATATTTTGACCAAGCCCAGAGACTCAACCATCCCACGTGCGGATCACCACTTTATAAAGGTAGTGAGTCATGGCGGGATGCCCACCTTTCCCCTACTTCCGGGTTCATGGTGTCAGTATGACCAAGCTTTATCCTCCGAACATGATACTGAGGTGCACAGCCTTCCGTCTAACAGATTTTACTAGAATTCCCTGCATTTTCTGTGATTTGAGGCATCTTCCCTTAATTTCTATTTTTTTTTCTAAAGGAATAAGATACTTTAATATTTAAAATGAAAGTTAATTTTGTCTTGGAGAATTTGGAAGACTTTGAAATTAGGAGTTACTGTAATGGGATTAAAACTTTAGTCATCTAAAAACTGTTTTCACTAAAATTAAAAATCCTTAAAAGGCAGAGAGGTCTTGGCTAAGGAGTTGTATGTGGCTTCATGTAACCCTGGGGTACAGAGCATGAAAACCCATTCAGCAGTGCCTGGCCTTCCAGATGGAACTGGATTCAGACCTGTTTCCTCCCAGGAACTCGGTCTAGACAAAGGCTATGCAGGGAAGTACTTGAAGCTGAGAGCATCGTGGTTCGGGTGGTCACTCAGGAGGGAGTGGCTTGGCCGTGACAGGTGCAGCCCCTCAGGGAAGCTTGGTGCACTGTGTACACTGTCAGGTCTCCAGCAGAGACTGGAGGTTTGTACAGGAGCAGAAACCAAGCCAGAGAATCTAGGCTCAAAGATGGTGCTGTTTCAGGCGAGAGGAAGAGGACCAGCCAGAGAGAGAGGTGGACACGATGGAGTGGGTTCCGTGAGGACTGGGGCTGCCGAGTGATGCTGTCAGGGCCCTCCAAGAAGGGGCGGAGGTCTCTGTAAGGCTATTCTTTCTCCCTTTGTAATGAATAGGCAATTTCTAGGGAGAGGTTTTGAGACTGTAAGTATCCTGCTCCTTGCTGACCTTCAGGGCTGCAGGCGCAGCCATGCCAGCACCCACTAAAGATCCTGCCTGCACCCGTCATGGCGAAGCCATGTGAATTACAATTTGGACACCAGCACTGAGAGTCTCCCAGATTAGAAAACTCAGTGGAATTCTAGGACTCAGAATTCTTAGAACACTCTTAAGGGGCTTAAGCAAAACAAAAAGTTTGCTAGACAGTCAGCGTCCACGTGCTCTGCATCCTCAGTTCAGCCAACCGTGGATGAAAATATTCAGAAAAAAGACCGAAGAATAACAAGACAGTAAAAAATACAAACAAAATACGACAACAATTTCCATTGTGTAGGCATCATGAGTAATCTAGAGGTGCTTTAAAGTATACAGGAGGATGTGCTGGGTTACATGCACGTACCATTCCGTTTGGAATCAGAGACTCAGCATCTGAGGATCCTGGTACGGAGGCTGGGGAGGATCCTGGACCCACTGTCCCAAGGATGCTAAGGGGTGACTGTAATCTTTAGGCCATGAAAAACTCACTCCATCTATTCCCAGAATACACTCTTCCTGTTTTCAGCTTCTCTGGAACCCTCAGCATGAGGAAAATCGGTGGTTTTGTCTTCGCCCTTCATTCCCATCAGATGAGATCAGGGAACTACGTCCTGTTCTGCATCTCAGCCAGCCAGCCCTCTTCCTATCATGTTATCTTACACGTTTCTTATTTATTCGATTCTTCTGCAGGACATTGTTACCATAGGAATGCTGTCCTTGCCTTGTGGCTGGCTATGTACAGCCATAGGATTGCCTACAATGTTTGGTTATATTATTTGTGGTGTACTTCTAGGACCTTCAGGACTGAATAGTATTAAGGTAAGAACAAAATTTAGTTGTTTTGGTATCTGTTTAACAGAACATAAAAAGAGAATTCCTGAAGACTAAAAAGTGTTGAATGTGATTAATGAAGATACCAGCTTCGTATAAACCATTTCAAAGAAGGTGTCCTTTCAGGTGTCATGGGAAGTCTCTGAACCCTCAGGAAGTCGCTGTGCCTGTTACTGAAGGGGCGTGTTACTGGAGACTACGACCCTGCTCGTTTCTGTCAGTTTTAAGGAGTCCATTTCCAGTAACATGCTGGGCCAGGTGGTTCAGACGGCCCTTCGCGTGCCGAATACAACCAAAGTGCTGCATCCACTGTATTTTTTTTTTTTTTGAGACAGAGTCTCTCACTGTCACCCGGGCTGGAGTGCAATGATGCAATCTTGGCTCACTGCAACCTCCACCTCCCAGGTTCATGTGATTCTCCTGCCTCAGCCTCCTGAGTAGCTGGGATTACAGGTGCACACCACCACACCTGGCTAATTTTTTGTATTTTTTTTAGTAGAGACGGGGTTTCACCGTGTTAGCCAGGATGGTCTCGATCTCCTGACCTCGTGATCCGCCCGTCTCGGCCTCCCAAAGTGCTGGGATTACAGGCTTGAGCCACCGCGCCTGGCCCCCACTGTCTTTAAGCATCTCACTCACAACACATGGGAAAGTCGACGAGCCCCAGTCGAGGCAGCGGGCAGTGGGGCTGTTTGCTAGGCCCTGTCACGCTGATGGCACTTCTGACAGGGAGGAAAGGTTCCTGAGCTTCCAGCTGTCTCCCCGCAACGCTCACAGTGCGAGCAGCGGGTGCCGGAGTAGGTGCCTTGAGTCCCACCGTGGGGAGGCGTGTCAAGGGGTGGGACGGGGAGGAGTGCAGCCTGCTCCCTCCAAGCCTTTTTCCCTCTGCTGCTGGTGGAGCCTGGGACCAGGCCCAGGAGCCCCAGGGCTTTCTCCAGACTGCAGGGCGGCAGGAGGGGTCTGAGGAGCTCCAGCCCCGGCTGGTGAAGAGGAGCGCGCCCAGCACCCTGGGCCTGGGGAGCAGCTGGCTGGCAGGGGAGCTGCAAGCCCACATGTGGGGGCTCCCAGGACAGGGCTCGCTTTGGCAGAATGGCCCCTGGGAAGAACGGCTATTTCAATTTGGTTTTTGGAGTAGGTCTTTTTCACGTGATTCAAGTATGAAACACCGGAGGTGAAAAATCACTTCCCGCCCTTTGCAAATAAAAGCAAATACAAATTTCTTTCCTTCTTTTTCTTAATAGCAAAGGTGCTCATAAACCAAGAAATAAGTTGAAATAGCTGAGTAATATATACAACTGGGTGCTGTAAAAATTATAATTCTTAATAAATCAGCTAAATCATGGAAAACAATGTAATTATAAATAGACCAAGATAAAAATCAGAGCACATACTAGCCAAAGGGAGAAGTGGTTAATGGAGGAAGTATACTGTGTGATTACTCTGTGTGTGTGTGTTTTGGATACTTCCACCAGGCATACTAGGACATGATTGTTTAGTTAAGTATACTTAATATGTTAAACCTGTAAAATTATATGGTTTGATTTTTTTGTGTGTTTTTCAGTCTATTGTGCAAGTGGAGACATTAGGAGAATTTGGGGTGTTTTTTACTCTTTTTCTTGTTGGCCTAGAATTTTCTCCAGAAAAGCTAAGAAAGGTAAGGACCTCATCAACCCATTACTGCCTCTAAGGGACTTCACATCATGTGGTTTTGGTTCATATACTTTTAACATTTGTTGATGAATTCACTATCAAATTAAATGTTTTTAGAATAGAATATGGTATTTCAGTTTGATGTTATTTTTGAAACAAATTCAGAAAGATGAAGAACATCAGGTTTGAAAGCGTCGAAATTCAATGAAGAATTGGCATTAGGCTTCTCGTGCCTAACTTCAGGAAGGATCTGGAAAATAAAATGTGTGTGAACTTTAACAGATGGTCCCTCCCAGAAGGTGGCAAGTCTGTTAGAGGGTCAGATGTCATAGAGCTTGCATATTCAGTGTGTTACCCTAGAAGAAACTTTGTAAATTGGAAGTGAGTTAATTAAAAAACACTTTGCTTTTCCACAGACGCGCACAGAAGAGGAAAGTAGCTGATGAAAGGCTAGGGTGGGGAGAGAGAAAATGAACACTGTTGGTAACAAAAAAGAACCCTGTGAATTAAGATCAGATACCATTTTGCCTGCAGTGCTAGCTGGAAAACTAATATCAACTTAGCAAAAGTTTTTAAGCGGATATGAGCTGTAATAGGCATTCTTGAACCAGATTCATGAGAATCACAGCTGTACACCCTTTTCGTTTTGTTGGGTTTTTTTCCACGAAAGACTTGGTCATTTTAAACAAAGTGACTTAATTTACAGTGTCTGGTTTGCCTAATCACTCAGCCCTCTCGTGTTGTATTTTTTTTTTAATTTTAATTTTTTTTTACTTCAATAGGTTTTTTGGGAACAGGTGGTGTTTGGTTACATGAATAAGTTCTTTCGTGGTGATTCGTGAGATTTTGGTGCACCCATCACCAGAGCAGTGTACAGTGCACCCAATGTGTAGTCTTTTATCCCTCACCACCCCCCACCCTTTCCCCCAATCCCCGAAGTCGAGTGTGTCATTCTTACGCGTTTGTGTCCTGGTAGCTTAGCTCCCGCTTAGGAGTGAAATCATAGGATGTTTGATTTTTCATTCCTGAGTTACTGCACTTAGAATAATGGTCTCCAGGCCGGGCGTGGTGGCTCAAGCCTGTAATCCCAGCACTTTGGGAGGCCGAGACGGGTGGATCACGAGGTCAGGAGATCGAGACCATCCTGGCTAACACGGTGAAACCCCGTCTCTACTAAAAAATACATAAAAACTAGCCGGGCGAGGTGGCAGGCGCCTGTAGTCCCAGCTACTCGGGAGGCTGAGGCAGGAGAATGGCATGAACCCGGGAGGCGGAGCTTGCGGTGAGCTGAGATCCGGCCACTGCACTCCAGCCTGGGTGACAGAGCGAGACTCTGTCTCAAAAAAAAAAAAAAAAGAATAATAGTCTCCAGTTGCGTCCAGGTTGCTGCAAATACCCCTATTTTGCTCCTTTTTATGGCTGAGTAGTATTCCATGGTATATATAATACCACATTTTTTATTGGTGGGCATTTGGGCTGGTTCCATGTTTTTGCAATTGCAAATCGTGCTGCTCTAAACATGTGTATGCAAGTATCTTCTTCACATAATGACTTCTTTTCCCCTAGAAGTGGGATTGCTGGATCAAATGGTACATCTACTTTTAGTTCTCTGAGGAACCTCCACGCTGTTTGCGTTGGTGGTTGTACTAGTTTACATTCCCACCAGCAGAGCAGAAGTGTTCCCCTTTCACCACATCCCTGCCAACATCTCTTCATTTTTTGGTTATGGCCATTCTTGGAGGAGTAAGATGGTATCACATTGTAGTTTTGATTTGCATTTCCCTGATCATTAGTGATGTTCAGCATTTTTTATGTTTGTTGGCCATTTGTCTATCTTCTTTAGAGAATTGTCTATTCATGTTCTTAGCCCACTTTTGGATAGGATTGTTTCTTTTTTTTCTTGCTGACTTTTTTGAGTTCTTTGTCGATTCTGGATATTAGTCGTTTGTCAGATGTATAGATTGTGGAGATTTTCTCCAGCTCTTTGGATTTGTACACTCTTTTTGGAAAGCTGTCTAGCAGTTTGACCTAAGAGCTTTAAGATGTACATATGCGCCCAGTAGTTCTTCTAGGTCTCTCTCCAAAGGAAACAATCAAACATAAGTTTTTAAAAAATTTAGCCACAAAAGGTTTCACCTCCTCATTGTAAATCTTTAAGAAACAGCGGAACCAGTCCCGAGTGTCTAACGGCCAGTTGAACTGTGGCATGACTGCTGATGGAGTGTTAGGTAGCCACTGCAAAGTCACAGGAGCATCAGCAGCAAAGCAAACTATCGGTTAGAATGCTAAACTTGAGGGAAAGCAGGAGCACGTCATGTGGCCGCGGCGATGTAAAAGAAGCACCAGTACGTGGGGGAAAATGGGAAATGAACGTGCCGGATCACCATGGCGACTTCTGGTTTCTTCTCCGTATTTTCCAAATTTTCTGTAATAAGCTGTCAATACTTTGTCATTATAAGGAAAAATAAACTTTTCTTTTAAAATCTTGTGTTTACTTTCAGAAGTTCACTCTGATCTCACTGGCATGTTTTTCTTTATACTCTCGTCCCATTTGCTTCCTCAGTTCATCCTCTTACCTAGAACTTTTTGTTTTCTTTACCCTTCTGTTTTTCCACTAAAAGCTCCATTTGTCCATCTTCTCCTTGCTCTCCCTGTCCTGTGAACACTCCTGAAGACACACAGCCTCATAAGGCGTTCTGAATTAACTTTAGGGTGTTCTCCAGGTACTTGGCATCTTTTTATATTTCTTGTAAATTGTTAATTTCTAAGCTCAGTGATTAAAGAGAAGTCACCACTCTCCTGGGTCCCAAGGAAAAGCGGTTCCATCCTTGCTGTTAACCCTGTGGAGGGAGTGTTATGGCGGGAGGGTGAGGGGGCGTGGGCCGCGTGGCTGCCTGGCCTGTGGAGGAGCCTGTTATGGGGGGGTAAGGAGGTGTGGCTGTCCAGTGCCCTGTCTCACCAGTGTCCCACGAGTCTCCGTAAAAACATGAGGCCTCCATTTCATGGTGCAGCATGGGCGTGTGTGTGTGTGTGTGCGTGTGTGTATCTGTGTGTGTGTAATTTAGAGACGTTTACAGCAAAGGGCAATTTAGGGCAGACCCTAGGGGAGGTGGGAGGGCGACATTCTGGCTATGCGGCAGAGCCTCAACAAGACGCCTACTGCCTGGACATGTGCTTCCTCTCCTATACAGTGAGGGATCTAGAAGACTCCGGTGTCTTCTGGCTCTGCATTTTCATAGTTTGTATTTTTCTCCATTACAGTATTCACAGTTAATAAAAAATAATATTGTATAACGTAACATTAAGATAATTGTAAGCAACGTGAGAACGTGCTTCATCAGGGCTGCTGTCATCTCAGTGGCGCTTCCGAGGGTTTGCACCCGGTTCTGAAGTGCCTGCTTGGTGGTGTAGACTCGGGGGCTCGGCAGGAGCCTGGCGTTCCCTGTTAGGAAGTTGTGCTCAGCTGCCCTGCGTGGTGACAGTCAGATGATGGAAGGACACTGGTTTGGGACTCAGGAGACATCTGTGAAACTCCCTGTTGACCCCGATCGAGTGGCGCTGGGCAGGGCTCCTTCTGTGTCTGGGATGTGCGGGTGTCTCGGCGCTGATGAGGGTCTCCTGGTGCGAACTCCTCCTCTCACCCGTTGCTGAGCCTGTGCTGCTGTCCCCAGTGGGAACCCTCGGAGTCTGGCCCCACCCTGGCTCATGGAGACGGCATCCCTGGTTCACGGAGACATGACTAAGCAATGTGTTTATTCTCCCCTTTTTATTACTCAGGTGTAATATCTGGCCGAGCTTTAGAACAGCCTGAGATACCCGGAGTCACTTTTCTGAACTGATGAGCCTCCTGCCACGTGGGTTAGCTTGCACACCCCACTTGTGGGTGGGAAAATAATTTCCTTGGGTTTTTGAAATGTTAATACTTGCCAGAAGGCCCCTCTTAGAACTTCTAAAGATATGATTAGAAACTACTCGGAACGCCGAGGCCCCGAAACCGCGTCGTGCGTCGTGCGTCATGCTGAGGAAAGCTGCCCGCTCAGTTCTCTCCCTTGTCACCGCTTGCTCTTCTAGCCGGACTTCAACTGTTCCTTAAACTTGATCACTTAAGAATCTGTCAGTTTCTGCCTCTCTCTAGATCGTTCATAGAGTCATTGGGGTTGGAGTTTCATTTACTTCTGTCTTGTATCTTCTCTGTCCTAACTGCAAACACCTGTTGAGCACCTGCGGCGTTCCGGGCCCTTCAGGGGCTGCTGGGTGAGGCAGGGTGTAACGTAGATGTGCCTCTACCCTGTGCCTTGTATTGTGGGATTTCAGGAGAATGTGTCTTAGAAGAGGAAGAAGAAGACAGCTGAAGAGGCGGTATTTGAGGCTGGGGTCCTAGTGCAGAGGAAGCCGGGGGTGCCAAGGGGCCTCCTGTCAGTGCCTCCTGATGTCCAGTGCCTCCTGACCTCCAGTGCCTCCTGACCTCCAGTGCCTCCTGACCTCCGGTGCGCATGCAGCCACCTGGGGACTTGCTGACCCACAGATTCTGACCTGGATGTGCCTGCAGGTGGGGCTTCTGATGCGTGCACAGGTCCCATGTTGAACGGGAAGTTTCTTCCTCTCACCTGTGCCCCTGTGGCCTTTCCTGGAGCCGTTTCCCACGGTGGTGTCTCAACACCTTGCTCCCAGGGCCCTCCTGGCTGGAATGTGTGGTAACACAAGATAATAAGGTCAGGTAAGGTTCACCCTGGTAATGACCTCAGAGATAACAGTCTTGCCTGTTCTCTATAGATGTGGAAACTAAAGCTAGAGAGATTGCTACCCACTCGGCGCACGGCGAGTTAGCAGCAGATCAGGCCTCAACTCCGTGTGTCCCTTGAGGGTTGGGAAGACCCTGAATCAGAGCTGGTTAACACTGCTCACAGGAGTAACCCCCGAGCCCGTGGCTGCCTCAGGCTGCAGCCAGCATGGACGGCACGGTGTTTCCATCGCTCCTCGGCTGTGATATTCGGAAGAGGAAGGGTGTAAGATGCACGTGGACGGCATGGTGTTTCCACTGCTCCTCAGCTGTCATATTTGGGTGTGAAATGTGCGTGGACGGCACGGTGTTTCCATTGCTCCTCGGCTGTGATACTCGGAAGAGGAAGGGTATGAGATGCACGTGGACCGCACGATGTTTCCATTGCCCCTCGGCTGTGATATTCGGGTGTGAGATGCGCTCTGTGATAACCATTACGATTGCCAAGCATAGGAAGTAGAGAAAAGAAATTCAGAAGCAGCCGTTGTGGGACCGACCCTTCCCCTCTTTGTGGAAGGAGAGAGGGGACCAAGCAGAGTAGAGACTTATCGAGTCTCCGCGGCCCAGAGCTGTTTGGTGGCATCTGCTGGCCTCCTGTCATGTGGCCTCTCGATGTTCAGATGAAGTGAGCCTGGGGCCTCGTGGGGTTGGAAGGCACCGTGGTTCCCCTCCGGGGTCTGGAAGCTCCATGGTGGACAAACAGGTCAACGGGTCACAGCTGTGGGAGACTGGGGCATATCTGCTCATTTTCCTGATTCTCAAAAAGAAAAGTTGTAATTTTGCAAGAAGTGGTGTTTTTCACCAAGAACTAGCTGGGGAGGGAAAAGCTCACATGCTCCAAAGCGCCCAAGGTACACTGGGGCTGGCGGGCTTGGCAGGTGCGCCCCCCGGAGCTGCCTGTGTACATTGGGGCTGGCGGACTTGGCGGGCGCGCCCCCCGGAGCTGCCTATGTACATTGGGGCTGGCAGGCTCCTTGGGTGGGCCCCCTGGAACCGCCTGTGTCCAGCTGCTCCACGACGCCTGTGTTTAGCCACACAGCCCCTGCATCCCTTCCTTCTAGGACCCCCGACCCCAACTTTCACTTTCCACAGAAGGCCTGGAATCAGGGAACTGATGCTTGTTTTGACTAGGACCATGCAGTGAGGAGAAAACGATATGAATGAGCACTTCAAGTGGGGTAGGAGGAGTTCCAGGTTAATTTCTTTGGTTGATGTATCATATTTATGTTTATATAAATAGGTAGCTTTTATTATTTTAGGATTGAAACGTGCTTTCTTCTCCCTTCCCGTCTCATTTAACACAGTGCCGAGTGCACCCTGAGGCACCTGATAGAGCCGCTTTGGTTGCCGAGCCACAGTGCCTGGGTTCACTTCCTGGCTCCAACATTCACTGGCCATGTGACCTTGCCGAGTCACTTAACCTGTGTGTGCCTCGGTGTTTTCATCTAAAAGTAGGGGAAATTGTCATCTTGAGCTCAAGTTGTTCTGAGGATTAGGTTTTATTTGCACTCCTGGGGAGAGAGTGGGTGTGCGTGTATTGTGTGTGTGCAGCCCTGTGGCAGTGCCTGGCACAGAGGAAGCCTTGTGTGAGTACTCACCGTGTTCAGCTGATGACGTTGGATATGTGACCCAGCGTTGCCTCACAAAAGCTCAGCTCTGCCTCCTTTCCTGGGTGCAGAAATGCATGAAGTCTGTGTGGTGTGGTCATTGCCTGTTGTCACTAAAAAGCGTGTGAATCACTGTATTCTCTTTAAGGTGTGGAAGATTTCCTTACAAGGGCCGTGTTACATGACACTGTTGATGATTGCGTTTGGCTTGCTATGGGGGCATCTCCTGCGGATCAAACCCACGCAGAGCGTCTTCATTTCCACCTGTCTGTCCTTGTCGAGCACACCCCTCGTGTCCAGGTTCCTCGTGGGCAGCGCTCGGGCTGACAAAGAAGGTAGGTGACGGCGTGTTCCAAGTGTGTGTCTGGCTCATGCTCGTGTGTAGGTAACTTTTGGATTCACAGTTGAGGGCCTGTGAGGAAAAATTGCAAGTCTTACTTCCCCTCTGAGGACTTTCCGAACAATTGTGGATGTCAGGGCTTACATTCCGAAAGGAACTGATGTCCCTGTGAACTCAGGTCCTCCCAACCTCCACTTCTCCACTTGGTTAAGAAAAAATGAGGGCCAGAGAGAACTTGGACCAAGATTTTGAAAAGCCAGTGAGCACTGGAAAATGACCTGTGGAATTGGTGGGTTTGAGGAAGTTGCATGTGTTTTGCTGCTTTAATTCTAGCAGGCACTGGGGATGGACCCACTTTCGATACTTTCTTCCTGTGAAATCAAAGGTGCTTCGGTAACTGAAGGTGTTCCCAACTCTTTTGCTTTGGCCTTAGTTTCATCGTGTGTATGAAACATTGGCGCCTCTAAGTCGTAACTGTTTAGTGGAAGCTGCTGACTTGCTCTGAAGTCTTGGCAGGACCGTGTCCCTTTGCAGGGAGGCTTGGCAGGTTGCTGTTTCTGACAGCCTGCTTACCCACTGGGTAAGCTGTCACTGTTTTGCTCTTATTTTCTAAAAGTCAGTAAAATACAGGGTCGAAATGCCACAGTCACTTCACTATGACGTTCACCCTGCACAGAACACACAGGCATAGAAGAGAAAATACAAAAAGAGAAAACCACAGAGGTGTGTCTGACCTCTCCTGTAAACCGACAGGCTCTGTGCCGGCAGCTGAGAGGCTGAGCAGAGCTGGCCATGGGCCGCCGAGCCGGGTGCTGGAGCATGTGGAACCCACGCGTGCCCTCACTGTGGGACCGGCAGTTGGGAAGCATCACTCTGTGAAGGAAGCAGGGAAAGCTTTTTAAAAATCTGCGGCCTTCTGCTGGGCCTGAGGCACCAGAAGGACACGGATGCAGCCTCCCTGCTAGACGCTGGATAGGCGGCCCCAGCCGTGGGCCTCCTCCGTGCTGGTCCCAGCATCCCTGTGGGCCGGTCCTAGGGTCAGCCCCATCGTGAGACTGGACAGAGGTGGAGGGTCGGGGACCGAGTGAAATGAAAAAAGACCAAGTGGGGACCAGGAACGATGCATGAAAACTGCTGGTTTAGTGGCCTGCACATGGGAACACCCACACCTGCAAAGAAATCTGTGGCTGGGAAAGAGCTGACAGACTCAGCAGTCACCGTGTGAACTGCCCTTGTGGACAGAAAAGCTTAATAAAGACTTCAAAATAAGTGGGCAGTATACACTCAGAGTCCCAGGGGCCAGGACTGGAGAGGGAGAGGGGTGGAGTGTAGATGGAGAGGGTCAGTATATACAGACTCGGTGCCCTAGAGGCTGGAATGTACATGGAGAGGGGTGGAGGGTAGATGGAGAGGGTCAGTATATATAGAC